ACCAACACATGAGACTATAAAATTAGGTTGATCCTTAAAAGCCTCATTACATCCTCTCTTTAAGTTTGGTAAAAAGACTATAAGTGAGGAAGCAGGACTCAAAAGTAAGGTCCAAGTATAATATAAAATGAAAACAAAACAACATATCAACATATGTTGATCAATGAAGGGGCATGCTACAGGGCATCTCCTGCTCTTCTGGCTCCTGTACTCAGCATCACTGGACAGAATGTGCATAATTACTTATTTTAATTTCTGAAAACAGATCCTACCACCAGAAGAGGGAAAGAGACCTGAGGTCTGTATAATGATTTTACATTAACAAATAGTCTTGAATTTCTACCAAAAGAGCGTGACCTTAAAACCTCTCACATCTTAGTGATTAGCCGGAAAGAATTTCATACCAGTGTGGTTCCCTGTTCAAGTGCCCAAAGTAGGGTTAGTAACAGGAGCTGCTCACTGGACTGCTGTGAAGGCCTGACATAGAGCGAGACAGATCTAGACGTGGGGCCGACGCCGCTGCTGCTGCTGCTGCTGCTGTTGTTAAGCAGATTAGGTATCTTAATTCTCCATTGGACATTGAGTTTGGCCACAGTACAGTCACTTCCCTTCACTTTGATGAAATCTGAAATATGTTTCTCTGAGACAAAGATGGCACGTTCCCCTACGTACATTGGGCAATTAGCACATAATATTAGCATGTACTCACTTGACTGTCCATAGGAAGCACATATTAAACAGGCAAAGTTGTGGGTTTTCAGTAAGAGATAGGCTGGACAGTGAGATGCAGATGGCTGCCATTTTGTGCAGCAGATATATAAAGAGGTTTTTCCAACACCAGACTTCATGTTGCAGTTGTTGGTGTTCTGGCCAGAGGGGCGGATGGACTGTGAGCCCCTTGAGGTGAACTAGAACACATGCTGAAGTCTTCCCAGAAGCAATTGTTTTCTTCCATTCAATAAGAAAGGACAAAGGCAAAAATGAGAACACCAAGAAAATGTAGGTGTCTATTTCCACAAAATAACCTAAGCTTGATAAGGCCCCCAAAAGAGGGTAATATATATTTAAGTTTTAATCCTTAAGGAAAACCCTTAACCCTTTGTTAATTTAAAAAAAAAGAAGTGTTTGATCATATTTTTCTCCATTGTTCCTGTATAACTAACAATATGTAGGTGTATACTATAATGCTACAAAGTGAATGTAACGTATAACTTTAGGGAAGGAATAAAATCATCATCCCATACACAGCTCTTACCTTGATTCATGGCTCAAATATTTCTCTTCTTGAAGCATTACTGCAGCTCTTGTGCTAAGAAAATTGTTGGTGGATGAAGAATGATTCTGCAGCCTTTCATCCTTCACAATGTTTGTGCCATCTGATTACGCTAACTCTGCAATGGTGCCATCTAGTGTTCACATGTCCTCAGTACTACAGCTCAACTTCATGAAAAGCAAAATAATACAAATAGCAAGTTCCCTGAAGAACAGTGTACTGGGGAGAGTCAATGTAATGCAAAGTCCATCACTGAAACACTAGAACAGATTTCTCATTAAATATATATCTTATTTACTATTATGTGTCTTATCTATTGTTGCATTTATCTCACAAATATTTGTATATATTCTATTAAATAGTCATGCAAATGATGTATAACATACTTCATGTATTGTAGTTATACTTATTTTGTATTTTATTTTTCTATTCTTCTTTGTGCCTTCTTAGAATTCTAACAAAATGGTCATTGTCTTTGAAGGCAGCACATCCAACCTAGTCATGGGTTGGGTTGGATTAGAGTGGAATCAAAGCATGCAAATCATTTATTGTAATAGTTGATTACACTGCATATTCTGCTGCAGGTTGTGATTTTCTTACTGCTGATGGCTATACCTTCAAAAGTCAGGTGCCTCACTACATAATAAGAGAAACACAGAAGGGCTTTGATATGCGTGAAATAGAGTGTTTTTTTCCATAAAACAAAGGAACTAGTGTCTTCCTTGTCTTACCATTGATACTATTGATACTCTTTTTAAAAAATTCTGTATAGGGGCGCCTGGGTGGCTTAGTCAGTTGAGCATCTGACTTCGGAGCAGGTCATGATCTCATGGTTTGTGAGTTTGAGCCCCACGCCGGGCTTTGTGCTGACAGCTAGCTGAGTCCGGAGCCTGTCTTTGGATTCTGTGTCTCCCTCTCTCTCTGACCCTTCCCTGCTCACGCAGTCAATCTCTCTCTTAAAAATAAATAAAACATTAAAAAAATGTTTTTAATAAAAAATAAAAAATTCTGTAGAAAGTAATTTGAGGAATTAATGAGGTTAGGAACAGTTTTCAAGATGTCCCAGAGATGTGATTTTCGTTTTCTTAACTAGCCTTTGAGTGGACTTCTATATTGCTTATCAGTTCAGAATTTTATTTATTTATTTACAAATAGTTTATTGTCAAATTAGTTTCCACATAACACTCAGTGCTCATCCCCACAAGTGTCCTCCTCCATGCCCATCCCCCCTCCCCCCACATCCATCAGTCCTCAGTTTTTGTCAGCATTCAAGAGTCTCTCATGGCTTGCCTCTCTCCCTTTCCCCCACCATTTCCCNCCCTTCTTCTCCCAATTGATCCTCAGTAAAGTTCCTCCTAATCCTCCTATACGTGCAAACATATGATATTTGTCCTTCTCTGCCCAGTTCAGAATTTTAAAAGGAAAAACATATTTAATTATGAAAGAACAAAGTAATCTAAGACAGGCCCTGTCAGATCACCTCCATTATTTTAACATCTGTAAGAAGGTTGACAAAATGCCCGCTCTGGCTGAAAAAGCTCCGGATTCACCCCGTCTGATTTGGGGGAATGTAGAGACCCAGACTCCATGAGGATGCTGCTGACTCGCAAACCTCACCCAGGCCCACCTAGAACTTGGCTCTCCCTTAGCTTTTTTGTTAACTACTCAAGGACAGGACCTTCCCTCCTGCTTTGGGCTCTGTTTACCTGCCTTGCTTTAATAAGGAATGACTTCTTTTGTGCTTCTGCTCCCACTTGGTTAATTATTCCACCGTGGCCTATGCATCATTTCCTCAAAGAAGCCCTCCAACCTTAATTAGTCCTTTCTAGTTATTAAATATCACCCAACACTTTTCCTTATTACCACTCACCACACTTTGCAATTATATACTTATGTTATTATCTACTTAATATTCCCTGTCCCCACTAGATTATAAATTGTGAGCAGACTGGAATAATCTTTTTCTTTAACCCTTTGGGGTCCTAGCCACTGTGTTTTCTATAATGTTCAATACAGAGCAGGCATGTGGTAAATAACTGATGAAAGCAACTATTTGATTTCAAAATTGAGAACTAAGATGCTGATTGTCCCAGCCGATGTAGTTCTGTGATGTGAACTCTGCTTCCATGCCACCCTTAGGGCATGAGAATATTCACTGAGGCAGGAAATTCAACTGTGTTCCAGTCTTCAAGAAATACCCCTCTGGGACAGGTTACTTCCTGCAGCATGGTCTGGGAGTGAGACGTGAGCCGCTCATTCTAGTTACTTACAGAATCCCTGACCTTGTTCAGTACCAATCTTCCACTTCTCAGAGCCAATTGGTGTTTCACTCCCTGCCTACCAATTCTTCTTTGCTACACTCCTATCCCCCTAACCCAAAATAAAAAAAAATAAAATAGGGGTGTCTGGGCGGCTCAGCTGGTTAAGTATCCAACTCTTGATTTAGTTCAAGTCATATCACAGTTTGTGAGCTTGGGAGTCTCTCTCTCCCGCTCTCTTTCTTTGCCCCTTCCCCTCCAAAATAACTAAATAAATATTTAAATAAATAAATAAATATGGGGCACCTGGGTGCCTCAGTCGGTTCAGCATTCGACTCCAGCTCAGGTCATGATCTCAAAATTCGTGGGTTCAAGTCCTACATTGGGGGACAGCTCAGAGCCTGGAGCCTGTTTCAGATTCTGTGTCTCCCTCTCTTTCTCTTCTCCTCCCCCACTCGTGCTCTGTCTCAAAAATAAATAAAAACTATAAAAAAATTTTTAAATAAATAAATGTAAATAAAATCCACCCATTTTTGTCTTTACTGTTCTCCATCTTCATGGATTAACATGGAGATAGATAGCACAAAATATAAGTTAATCTTTTAGGAAATTATCCTGTCACTCTGGTAGTTATCAGGGAATAAAAATAAATTTTGCATATTATACAAAGGATAGGTTGTGTTTTCATTGTTTATTTTGGTAGTACATTCCTTCTCTTTCTAGAAGACTCTAAGGATTTCCAACTATCTTAGAATATTAGACATGAAATCATGCTGAAAATCAATCACCTTCAAAATAAGTCCTGCTTAAATACTTATAACATGTCATACTAAGCTTCTGATGTCTATAACCAGTCACCAATGTCTTCTAAAGAATAAGAAATGATGAAACTAAACCTCAGAAGTGATTAATTGTGACATTGAATACATACATGCATATATAGGTGGATTTGTTATTTTTTGTAAATTGTATTATATTTCATTTAGACTCTGGTATATTGGCATTGTTTTAACACTTTTAAAATTTTTTATTTATTCTGAGAGGGAGGAGGGGCAAAGAGAGAGGGAAACTCCACGTTATCAGCATGCAGCCCCACAGAGGGCTCGATCATGACCATGAGATCATGAGCTGAGCCGAAATCAAGAGTTGGACACTTAACAGACCGAGCCACCCAGGAGCCCCTAAAGTTAACACTTCTGCATCAAGTACACACAAACGAAAAGTGCTCGAACTTCTGAGTATCTTCAAACCACACCGAAGCTTCTGAGAGTCCTTCCGGATCCATCTCCTCTCCACCTGTTGTAGCATTTCACAGGCATTACCTAAGTGTGTGCTTCTTGAAAGATGAATTTACTGACTTCATTGGCAACTCATAGAATCCTGACTCTTAGATGTGTATTTGATGAAAGAATATATCAGATGGTATAAAGTTTACTCTAAAGAGTATCTTCACACTTCTATCTCTGCAGCAACACAGATGTACACACAGTGGCGTCACTTCTTAAACTGTATCTCCGAGAACTTCCAGAACCAGTTATTCCTTATGCAAAGTATGAAGATTTTTTGTCCTGTGCCAAACTGCTCAGCAAGGAAGAGGAAGCTGTAAGTTGGTGTATTTCTTTCTAAAAAAGCCTTAATTTGTTGTTGGTGTTTTTGGTCAATGTTCTTAGCTTTTTATTTATAAATTTCCCTTTGTCCAATCCTTGGATTCTATTTATTGACATTACACATGTTTAGATATTACATACATAACACAGGTCCCATTTTTAATCCCTTCTTTTATCAACAATAAGAGTGCAGCTGAATAAATGAAGTGAGCACTCCTTCCCACTTTGCTCCTCTAAATGGTTAATTGAGGTACTACATCAAGCCAAACTTTCCTTTGAACCATATGGGTGTGAACTGCGTGGGTCCTCTTACACGTGGATTTTTGCAGTATAGTACTCTAAATGTATTTTTCCTCCTTGTGATTTTCTTAATATTTCCTCTCCTCTAGCTTACTTTATTATAAGAATACATTATATAAAACATATAACATACAAAATATTTGTTAATCAGTTGCTTAACTTATCAGTAAGGCTTCCAGCCAACAAAAGGCTATTAGTAGTTAAATTTTAAAGGAGTCAATAGTTATACATCTATTTTGAGTGTAGGGGTGGTCAGTGTTCCTAACCCCCCACATTGTTCAAGGGTGAACTGTATTCTCAAGAGTTGTGCAACCACCATCAAAATCTAATTTTAGAATATTTAGAACATTTTCATTATCCTATAACAAACTCCATAACTGGCCCCACCTTCGACAGCTCTTGGCAACTACTAATCTCTTTTCTGTAGCTATAGATTTGCCTCTTCTGAATATTTCATATAAATGGAATCAATCATCCACTATATTGTCTTCTGTGACCACTTTCTTTCACTGTTTTCAAGGTTCATCCACACTAAAACACACTATTTCATGCCTTTTATTTATTTATTCATCTATTCATTCATCAGTTGCAATACATGCATTGTTTCTGTTGTTTGATGGACATTATTACTAATAATGGTGCTGTGAAGGGGCACCTGGGTGGCTCAGTTGGTTGAGTGTCTGACTTCAGCTCAGGTCATAGTCGCACAGCTCGCGGGTTCAGGCCGTACATTGGGCTTGGTGCTGACAGCTCAGAGCCTGAATCCTGCTTCAGATTCTGTGTCACCCTCTCTCTGCTCTTCTTCTGTTCATACTCTGTATCTCTCTGTCTCTAAAATCAACATTAAATTTAAAAAAAAAATATAGTGCTGTTCGTATTCATGTACAAAGTTTGGCATGGACATATGTATCTGGGAGGCAGAATTGCTGGACTGTATGTAACTCCATGTTTGCTAAAGAGTCTCCATCATTTTAAATTCCCACCAACAATAGTGTGCAGGTTCCAGCTGCTCCACATATTTGCCAACACTTGTTATTATGTCTCTTTTTTTATCACAGCCGTCCTAATGTGCATACAGTGATATCTCATTGAGCTTGAGTTGCATTTCCCTGATGGTTAGTGATGTTAAACATCTTTCCATATATTTAGTGGTTACTCCCATATTTTCTTTGAAAAGCCCCCTATTCAAATAATTTTCCCATTTGTAATTGGGTTATTTGTCTTATAATTACTGGGTTGCAAAAGCTCTTTATAGTTTAGATTACAAGTCTCATATTAGATATGTGATTTACAAATATTTCTTCCATTCTATCCGTTGTCTCTTCAGTTTTTTGCTGGGGTCCTTTGAATTGTGACGAAGTCCAGTTTATCTATTTTTCTTTTGTCACTTGTGCTTTTAATGTCACATCCAAGAATGCTTTAACTAAGGTCACCAGGATTTACGCCTATATTTTCTTCTATATTTTGTAACTTTCGCTCTTACATTTAGGTCTATGATCCAAATTGGGTCACTTTTTGTTTATGATATGAGGAAAGGTCCAAGTTCGTCCTTTGGCATATGGATATCCAGTTGTCTCCAAACCATTTGTTGGAAAGACTTTTGTTTCCTCCACTGGATTTTCTTGGCACTCTTGTTGAAACTGCTGCCTGTTTTTATAAATGAAGTTTCACTGTATTATGTACTATGGTCTGTGGCTGCTTTTGCACCACAACAGGAGAGTAGAGTAGTTGAGACAGGGACCATATGTCCCACAGAGCTTGAGATATTTACCATCTGGCCTTTTTCAGGAAGAACAGATTAGATCACATTATCCATTAGCTTTTCTGGGACATTTACATTTTAGAAGAAGTTTTACAATGAGAAGAACCAAAACACTTAATACCTTTGTGAAATTTCCAGAAAGAGTAGACTGTTTATTTTCCATCCCACCCCAAACAGGGTGTCCTAGACATGGCCCGTCTTGAGAGACTTATTTGTCAGTAGACACGTGTTTGTCTATGTTTGGGGCATCCCAGAAATGGGAAAAACTCTCATTACATTAAGGCTGCTTTCTTCCCAAATAGCCTTATTATTAATGAGGCAGTCTTCCCTTTTCAATCACTTGTGAGCAAGTATTAAGAATGGTAAAAAGACTTCACTAAAATTTATTTCTCTGCAAATAGTACTTATGAAAATATTTGAAATACTTTTCCCCATCTTTAAAAATATTTGTGAAATGCTGTGTGTAATCGTGGCAAGTTTTCAGGACAGGATTCTTCACTGATAATATGTGAAACTAATGAAAAAAAACTATATCCTCATTTTTCTTTTAATTTTTAAATATTTTTTATTTATTTTTGAAAGTCAGAGTAAGACCGCATGAGCAGAGGAGGATCAGAGAGAGAAAGAGGGAGAGGGAGATACAGAATCCGAAGACAGGCTCCAGGCTCTGAGCTAGCTGTCAGCACAGAGCCCAATGCGGGGGCTTGAACCCACGAACCGTGAGATCATGACCTGAGCCAGAGTCGGACGCTCAACAGACTGAGCCACCTGGGCGCCCCATCCTTGTTTTGTATTTGCTTTCATTGCAAGGCTAACCCTTTCGTAACATTTATTCTCTATTTCTTTTTACTCAGGGTGTTAAGGAATTAGCAAAGCAGGTGAAGAGTCTGCCTGTGGTCAATTACAACCTCCTGAAGTATATTTGCAGGTAAGAATGGTCCTAAAGACAAAACTAGACAGAGCAAGACTATGGTTAGCCTGACACTAATTTACTTCTGACAATGAATAAAATCACTGGACTGCTCTGAGCTCTGGTGTTGGCCTCTGTAAAATTAAGAAGTTTGACAGGATGGTCTCAAGGCTTCTTTGACCACGAAAATTGCTCTGTTTTATAATTTATTGTTTCTGAGTCTGTCTTACTTCTACTTACTAAAGATCTGTTACTTGAAGTTCCATCGAAGTTGTTTGTACCTGCTCCATGTACCTTTATTTAAGAGAATGAGCATCTCCCTTGGTATGAGAAAGACCTGCATGGGAGTCCAGTTTCTACCACTTTCTAGCAGGAGTCCAGTTTCTCATGAGTCTTTATGAAGCCTTCTTATCCTTTCTGAGTGTCCTCCTAGGTAAAAGAGTACTGAAAACGCACATTTCACATAGTTGTTTTTAAATTTAAATTATATTTTAAATTGAATAAATATTATTTTCTATTTCTCTCCTACCTCAAGACTCCCTGAAAAAATATTGTCATTCAATTCTGTTAGGACAATAATTGTGCCTGGTAAAGCTCTCATTCATGACCTTTTAACTTATGACCTAGGATGCTATGGGCCATGTCTGCCCCTGTTTAGTAAACCATATGATTTCATTCATATGTGGAATTGAAGAAACAAAAAATTTGTAGGAGAAAAAAGAGAATGGGAAACCCAGAAACAGCCTCTTGACTATAGAAAATAAGCTGATGGTTATGTGGGGGAGAGATGGGTGAAATAGGTGATGGGCGTGAAGGAAGGTACGTGTTGTGATGAGCTCCGGGTGTGGTATGTAAGCATTGAGTCACTAAATTGTACACCCAAAACTAATTACACTGTATGTTAACAATACTGGAATTTAAATAAAAACTTTAAAAAATGAAGACACCAAATATATAAAATTGACACATATTAAATTTTAAAAAAAAGAGAGATGGTGATTGGTACTATACATCACTGTAGGTATCTTAAATGAAAGCATCCCAGTTTATTTTTAAGTAATTCAGATTTTTAATTCAGTACAGTATATTATTTGCATATGCTTTTTGTGTCATGATTAGATAAATGCTCAGGAGACTGGGAACTATGTAGTTTAAGACTAATGCCAGACACTGAAGAGTTCACCGTCAACTGTAACTGAGTAGAAATTCCAAAACCTTCTACTATAACTTTTTCTGGTGATGGTAGGAAGCAAATATGAGCTTAGGTTTCATAATTTAAAAAAGGAAAGAAACAGTTTTACTGACAACATAGGCTCATTAACACATAGGGGTTCTATCCCAAGATTTTGAACTGATTCACGCTGTTGTGTTGGATGAGAGAGAGGAACAATCTCTTCAAGTTAAAGGGGTAAAGCCTTTTTCTTGAGAACCATGTTACAAATCTTTAGCTCTTTAATAGGAAAACGTAACTTCTTTAGAAACATTTAGCCAGATTTTTAATTTCAGCTATCTCAAACGAGAAATAATAGTTTGAGATTTTCATCCTTCAGTTTGACTATAGCTTAGACTTTATAACAGTAATAAATATGTGGAATAGGGGCTTTTTCTTAAGTCACAAGGGAGTTGTGAAGAACCCAGACTCTAGAGTCAGACAATCTGGGTTCAAGTCTAAGCTCTGCCACCTGTTACTTCTGTGTCCTTGGAGAATATTCTTAACCTTTCTGAGGCCTCTGTTGCCTCATCTGTCCAATCATATCATTTACCTCACAGAGTTCTTTGAGAATTTAATAAGTTAGCACAATGACTAACACATAAAACATTTTAAATAATAATAAATTCTTTTTTCATCACTTCTCCTTTGTGTCATCAGTACAGTTAGTAAACCATGAAATCTGCAAATGAAGAGGGGGATGGGAAATGTAAAAAGGCCTAAGACTATAGTAACACTCCCTCCTGCTAAAACCGTTCAGGAAAAAGTCTATTTCATGCCTCTTATTCTTTAGCACCTAATAAACTGAAACAATTTGTGCTTATAATTTTTCATATCAGTGCAAGTAAGGTTTTAATTTAAACCATGTTTGATCTCATTTTTTAATAGACTATAAATCTGAAGCTCACAAATTACTTGACAAAGACGGTTGATTCTGCCTCTCTGAAATAAAGGATTGTACCATATGATCTTATTTATAGTTCTCAAATTAAATGTGTTTAGAAATTTAATGCTTTATTTAAGGATTGGGAGAAAATCTTTATTCTTGAAACTCAGGTCCATATTAGCATCATTCAAACACACCTGTTTCTGTGATTGACAGAGGAAACCAAGCCAAGCCAGGCCAAAGGTGATATTTGATATGATCCCTCAAGTTTGATCCTTGATCATTTGCAATATACTTTCCCCACATTTGACTGAGAGATGTTTGAATTTCTAAATAATTTTGTCTCCATAATTGTATTTGAACATATTATAGTTAATAAATTTCCTAACAACCCATTTTCTTTCACTGACAAATTTGACCCCATTGTTTTGTTCATGTTCTTACGCCCAACAGGTTCTTGGATGAAGTACAATCCTATTCTGGAGTTAACAAAATGAGTGTGCAAAACTTGGCCACTGTCTTTGGCCCTAATATCCTGCGCCCTAAAGTGGAAGATCCTTTGACCATCATGGAGGGTAAGTAAATGATTATCTTACATTCTCATCAAGAGAACAATCACCTGCATTTTGGTTGATCTGAACCTATTCTCTGATGAAACTAGGGAAATAAGTAGCTCCATGGTAATTTCATTTATTGATTTAAGTTCTTCAAAGGCAAAATCTTCTCTTTGAAAGTCAGGCATTTTTCTTAATTTGCTAAATATAATAATTTACTAAAATATTCTTCAATGGCCTTACAAGAATAAATGGAGCTTACATAAGTCATCTGTAAAGTATTATGCAAGAGAACTAGAAAAATCTAGTTCACTTTTTGAGCCCCATGCGAGTTTCAGAAAACTCAAAAAGCTATACTATTTTAAGTTAATATATTTTTGATGAATTATGGTTTTGTTTGACAGATTTCAAGAGGTAGAAAAATATGGTCCTTTTTAAGATACTATTGTTTATTAATCTGTGGGTTGAAACATGAAGGAATTCTTGTTTTCTAGATTATAAAATGCCTCAGATTCTTTTCCACAATGAACCTCTACTTCTGTGTTTTCAGCAGGCCTTCCTGCTTGAGTACCTTTCTTACCTAGTATACTGTTACCTAATACCTTTCTTCATTAGTATTCTGTTGTTTTCTAAAATTTGGACTAATTGAACATTTAAAAATTTAATAAGGAAGAGAAAGAATGATTATTTTTAGTTTCACTCTGTTTTTTAGAACAAAATATATTCTTGACACTGTTCCTTTCTTGAAAATTCCAAAATTTTCATTCTTCTGTGTCATATGAGAGAAAGAAAGCTTCACTTCTTTTGTCAAATATTTAGTCTGATATCAATTGAGCATCAGATTTTTGGCAGTAAGATAGTCGGTCCAAACTTAATTTCTTTTGGAAGAGTTTAGCAGATAGTAGAAAATATAAAATTTGAAGCTACAGGAAGCTTAAAGATACTTTATTGTTTTCTAAAAACTTTCTTTATTATAAAATGCATATGATAAGGGAAACCACCAATAACATATGCACATACACACACATGCACATATACTTTTTTTTTTTTTTTGAGAGAGAGAGTGCATGTGTGCATGCAAGCATGGGAAGGGCGTGGAGCCTGTGGAGATCAATCTCATGACCATGAGATCATGACCTGAGCCAAAATCGACTCAGATGCTTAACTGACTGAGCCACCCAGGTGCCCTGTTGATCAATTTATAGAAGACACTCTAGAAATCACCACCTAGGTCAAGAAACATGACATTTTTAGGCATCGCACAAGTCTCTGTGCCCTGTCGCTCCATCTTACTCCCCCACTTAACTTACAACTGTATTTTACTACACAGACATTTGTATCAATCACTTCCTTAGGCATTACGTTTAATCTTTACTCTTATTTTATTTGATATATTTTAAAGTCTTTGGCCCTAATATCCTGACCTCAGCATCATATACAAAGGATAACAAATCAAGACCAGTTGGCTTTTTCCCAGGAAGGCAAATTTGGTTAGCCTTTTAAAAATCAATTTTTTGGGGGGCGCCTGGGTGGCTTAGTCGGTTAAGCGTCCGACTTTCGCTTAGGTCATGATCTCGCAGTTCGTGGGTTCGAGCCCCGCGTCTGGCTCTGTGCTGACTGCCAGCTCGGAGCCTGGAGCCTGTTTCAGAGTCTGTNCCCGCGTCTGGCTCTGTGCTGACTGCCAGCTCGGAGCCTGGAGCCTGTTTCAGAGTCTGTGTCTCCCTCTCTCTCTGACCCTCCCCTGCTCACGCTCTCTCTCTCTCTCTCCTAGAAATAAATAAACATATAAAAAATTTTTTTAATCAATTTTGTAAATATTTTTTTGTAATTTTAAAAAAATTTTTAAAAATCTCCATGGATACAAAAAATATTTTGCAAAATCTAATGCCATTCATGATAAAGACTGTTAGCAAATTAGAAATAAGAGGACCTAACTAAGGTCATCTATAAAAAATTTAGTTAGAAAATTATACTTAATGGTGAAAGATGGAATGCTTTCCCCCTAAGACTGGGCATAAGGTAAGATTGCCTACTTCTACTGCTTCTAGAAATTCTAGCCAGTGCAAAAAAGTAATATGAAGGAATAAAAAGCATACATATTAGGAAAGGAAGATGTAAAACTCTGTTTATTCACAGACAACACGATAATTTATGTAGAAAATTCTAGAGAATCTACAGGTGAAGCTATTATAACTAATAGGTGAACTTATGGTCACATGATACAATGTCAATTTATAAAAATCCTTTGTATTTCTATACACTAATATTGAACAATTGGAAACTGAAATAAAAAATATAATTTAGAATAACACAAATGTGAAAAATTAGGAATAAATTTAAGAAAATCTGTACAGAACATATATCCTGAAAACTACTAAACATATATGAAAAAATAATATAAATCAGGAAATACATTATGTTCACCAATTAGATAGTCAAAATCAATAAGATATGGTCTTCAAATTTACCTATAATCTCAATATAATTCTCACCAAAAAAATCCCGGAAAAAAATTTTATTTGTAGAAATTGGGAATCTGAATGTAAAAATTGTCTAGAATAGGCAAAACAATTTGAAAGAGAAAAACAAAGTTGAAATGTAATACTTGATTTAAGACTCAATATAATACCACAAATAATCAAGATAGTGTCTTATCAATATACAGATAGACATGTAGATCAATGGAATAGAAATGAAAGTCCAGAAATAGACCCACACACACCATCATTTGTTTTTGACTCATTCGCCAAGTTAGTTCAGTGGAAAAGGAATAGTCATTTCAACAAATGATGCTGGAAAAATTGTATATTATTTAATAAATCCTCTACCCTGACTTCACATCACTCAGAAAATTAACTTGAAATGGATTGTAGACCTAAATGTAAGAGCTAAAAGCATAAAAGTTAGAGAGGAAAACAGAAGATAAAAAACCTTACGACTTTGTGTTTGTTAAAGACTTAACTAGGACACAAAAATCTCTAGCCATAAAAAAGTTGATAAGTTGAACTTTATCAAAACTAAAACTTTTGCTCTTAAAAAATATCCCTAAGACAACAAAAGGCCAAGCCAGAGGAATAGGGATATATTGTGAATCAAATATTTGATTAAAGAATTTGTTTTAAAAGTATATAAATAATTCATAGAAATAATAAGACAATGAACTCAATGAAAAAATGGGTGAAAGATCTGAATTAGACATTTCATCAAAAATAAATAAATCGCAAATAACACATAGAAAGATACTCAGCATTTTTAGTCATCAGGGAAATGCAAATTTAAGCTGTAATGAACTACTGCTACACATCCTCTACAGAGTATAAAATTTAGACTGAAAATATTAAGTTTGGCTGGTAGAAATACAAAATGGTAGAGCCATTTTGCAAGGGGTAGGTAGGTTCTTATAAACTTAATTATTCACTAAACATAAGACCCAGCAGAGCAGTGTGCTAATATTGACCCACATGGAAAGAAAACATAAGGTCACCCAAAACTTTTAGTCAAATATTAATATCAACTTAATTTTGTAATAGCTCCAATTTGAAAACAGATCAATTGCCCATCAATTAGTGAATAAACAATTTTTGGTACACTCATAAAATGGAATACTACCCAGCAATAAAAAGAATGAACTAATGATACATGCAACAATATGGATAAATGTCAAAAGTATTATGCTAGGTGAATAATGCCTAGACACAATAGACCTCATACTGTATAATTCCATTTATATGAAACTCTAGAAAAAGAAAAACTATAGAATTAGAAAGCCGATCAGTGGTTGTCATGGTTGAAAGTGGGGGTAGGGAATTGGCTATAAATAGGCACGAGGAAATTGTCTATTTCATGATTAGATGGTGTTTCCAGGAGTGTCACTTATCAAAATTCAGTATATATGTGCACATATACAAAATAACACATATACAAGATTATTCATTGCAAAAAATACAAATTTAAACTACCTTTCAGAGAAGGCTGTCATATATTTCTATATATATGCAAGTGCATCTTAATGTGCATGGTTACCTTTAAAGAAAAGTTGAATTCTTACCCAATTCTTATGAAGAAGTGCCTACAATGTGGTATTTAAATTCAACCTCTATAAAAGTATATGGGCCAGGGGGAATTTCTAGATCATGTAGCCAGTGGGATGCCCCAAATCCGCTTGGACTCTTCAGAATGCCCTGTGATTATAATAACTCTGACCTCGTTATCTGGGCTTCATGTTTTCATTAGCACCTCAATGAAGAGAATGAGAGAAAGGAGGAAATAAAAAGGAAAAAAGAGTATATAGTGACACATTCTTCATCATTACTAAGCTAGTCTGTCCTAAATAGATATAAGAATTGAAAGAAAGTCCCTTTACAAGAACTATTGCCATTTATTATTCTTGGAACTAGATGAAAGCAAAGCCTCCCAAGATAGAAGAAAAAGATTTCTAAATCGCCAGGGCCCTGACACACACTCTATAATTGTGGCAGGTAACTTTGGCATGGCTGTTCACAGACTCATCACAGAGACCTTGGGAATGTTGCTCTTCAATTAATTAAATGCCCCACATAGTTCATAGCTATAGTGAGAAGCAGTAATGCTTCAAATGTTAGTATTCCAGTGATGGGAAAAAGCTCTGCTTTACCAAGTACTAGGCAAAGTCATATATAATAGAGGCTGCTAATATTTGAAAATGTGACTGTCATATGAACAAATAGTAAAATCGGGCTAAGTACACATGTCTTCAAATAGTACATAGCGACAGTGTTGACAGTCATTTTAACTCTACTAAAACCTTTTCATCAGATTCACTCCTATATGCGTTAAAAATAAGATGACAAAGTCAGAGGTTGCTACTAAAGGAAAGATGGATTTATAGTATCATTAATTTCATTGAGTTGTTTTTCTTCCACAACTCTGATTCAATAAATGTCTTTCATTTAGTTTCTTTTTTGTTTTTATGTTTTGATTTCTGAGAGAGACTGACAGAGACAGAGTGCAAGTGGTGGAGGGGCAGAGAGAGAGACACACACACAGAATCTGAAGCAGGCTGCAGGCTGCAGGGTCTGAGCTGTCAGCACAGAGCCCAAAGCAGGGCTTGAACTCATGAGCCATGAGATCATGACCTGAGCTGAAGTAGGATGCTTAAATGACTGAGCTACACAGGCACCCTATTTAGTTTCTTATTTAGAACAACCCCAAGTTTACTTGATACTACAACAGTTTAAATTCCAACAGCTGAAACACAGTAGGATGAGCGCATGCTTTGGAGTAAAAAGACGAAGTCTGAAGCCGGTCACCTTGGTCATTTATCATCTGTGTGGCCTTGAGCAAACAGCTTAACCTCTCTGAACCTCAGTTTTCTCATTTGAAAAATGTTAAGTCCTATCTCACAGCCTTTTGAGAAACTTAACTTAAAAGAGATAAGTGAAATATCTCCACCTACCACAGTCTTTCTCAAACTCTAACAAACATAGGAATCGCCTGGGGGTGTTGGTGACGTCCAGGTTCTGATTCAGAAGGTCGGCAATTTTGAAGCTTCCAGTGATGTCAGTGCTACTATGCTGTTATTATGGTGTCATCAGGGAGCCGGTTAGAGATGTAAAATCTCATGTCCTGCCTAATACCTGCATTTGAACAGATCTCCAGGTAATTTGTATGAACACTAACGTTTGGGCAACACTGGACCTGTATCAGACCTGGCACATTGAGGATTCTTGATCTAAATATATTGTAAATTTTGTGTCATCACAAAAGTGTGCAAGATACAGAGGGATTTAACACATTTTTTCATATTCAGCATTTGATTTTGAATAGTCTTGAGTCAAATTTTGCTGAGGTGTTGCTTTAAGCTAACGAGTGACCTCAACCCAGATCAGGCCTCAACTTTCTGACAGCTACACAGTTAGTAGCTGTTTAGGCAGAAATCTGCATTGTCAAAAGCCCTTGTCATCATTTTTATCACCAAATCTCAATTTAAGTATTTTAGAAACTACATTTACTAAGTAGAATTTAAGTTGTTTTGCTATGTCTATTTATCAGAGCCTAGACCTAAGAGCTTTTACCAACATCATATAAACCCAATTAACACATCAAATCAGTATAGTTCAAGTCAGAGCAAAGATGATTGTAATGTAATAGTTTATATTAACCTATACCGCTTTATTATGGGCACATGAATAACTTAATACTTAATAAGTCTTAGATTATGGTGGGGGAAGGGGCTCCAAGTTAAGAAAGTTGAGAAGCCTAGTTCGTGATGGCAACCAGTTTTAAGGGATGGGAACTCAGCTTGTAAATCAGTGAGGAATATGTGAAAATATATTTTAAGATTTCAGCTAATATGCCATAAAACCTGAAAAATCCATTGATTATTTAAATAAATTGCTGCTTGGGGCGCCTGGGTGGCTTAGTCGGTTAAGCGTCCGACTTTCGCTTAGGTCATGATCTCGCGGTTCATGGGTTCGGGCCCCGCGTCGGGCTCCGTGCTGACTGCCAGCTCAGAGCCTGGAGCCTGTTCTAGTCTGTGACTCCCTCTCTCTCTGACCCTCCCCTGCTCACGCTGTCTCTCTCTCTCTCTCCTCGAAATAAATAAAACATTAAAAAAAAAAGTAATTAAATAAATTGCTGCTTTTATTAACACCAACTTCAGGGTGGCTGTGTGGCTCAGTCGGTTAAGCGTCTGACTTCAGCTCAGGTTATGATCTCTGGGTTCGTGAGTTTGAGCCCTGCATTGGGCTCTGTATTGACAACTCAGAGCCTGGAGCCTGCTTTGTATTGTTTTCCTCTGTCTCTGCCCCTCCTCTGCTTACTATCTCTCTCTCTCTCTCTCAAATTGATAAATGTTAATTTTTAAAAATAATAGATCAACTTGTTTGTCCTTTAGTGTCTATTTTTGCTGTCTGAAACTTGTATTCATTTCTAATTCATACTTTACAGTGCATAGTGAAAATATGAGAATCAAATGAAAATCATAGTATTTTAATATGTGTAAGAGAATTATTTTCTCTCTCAAAGGTCTTTTAGTTGTCTAAAATGCCCCGATGCTGGGCCCCTGGGAGGCTCAGTCAGTTAAGCGTCCAGCTCTTGCTTTCGGCTCAGGTCATAATCTCACAGTTTGTGAGTTTGAGCCCTAATTAGGTCTCTGCACTGACAGTGTGGAGTCTGCTTGGGATTATTTCTCTGTTCCTCCCCTACTCTCTCTCTTTCAAAAAAACAAAACCAAAAACATTAAAACACCCTGACACTTTGCTATTTTGCTATTTCTTCTTGAGCAGGTTTGGTAGTAACAGATTCTCTCAGTTTTTGTTTACCTAGAGAGGTCTTTGCTTCTCCTCCATTTTTGAGGCATAGATTTGTTGGCTATAGAATTCTTGCTTGACCGTCTTTCTTTTAACATTTTGAATATTTTATCCCATTTCCTTCTGACAATGAGAAATGATAAGAAATCAGCTGTTCTTCTTATTACATGTACATGAGTTGCTTCTTTCTTGCTACTTTCAGAATTCTTTGTTTTTGGTTTAAGACAGCTTGACTATGATGAGTCTAGGTTTGAATCCTTTTGTATTTACATAGGTTGGAATTTGCTGAGTTTTTGGATGTACACATCATAGTTTTCATTAAAATGGGACATTTTCAGCAGCTCTTTCTTTAAATATTCTTTCTCCTCTGGGACTGTCCTTCTGGTACTACCAGTGGGCATATGATGATATACTTTATTGTGTCCCACAGGTCTCTGAGGCTCTGTTTATCTTCATTCTTTTTCCTTTATGTTTCTCAGATTGGGTAGCCCCCACTGATTTATTTTCAGGTGTACTAATTCTTTCTTCTGCCTGCTCAAATCTGTTGTTAATTCCTTCTACTGACTTTTTTTTTTTCATTTCACTTCTTATAACTTTCAACTCCAGAATAACTATGTAGTTTCTCTTCATTGATACTCTCTATTTGGTGAGATATTATTTTCACTTTCATCTGGTTTCTTTAGGTATGGTTTTCTTTAATTATTAAAACACACTTAAAATAGCATATTTAAATTCTTTGTCTAGTGAGTGCCATGTCTAGGCTTCCTCAGAATTTGTTTTTTCCTGTATATGGGCCATAATGTTTTTATTCTTTGCTGTCTCATGATTTTTGTTGAAAACTGAGCATTCTTAATAATATAATACTGAGAACATTGGATCTCGGATTCTCCCCCTCCTAGGGTTTATTGTTTAGTGATTTTTCTGCACTAATTCTATAAAATCTATATTCTTTGCCATTTGTGGCCACTGAAGTCTCTGCATGATTTGCTTAGTTGTCAACTAATTATTGGCAAAGATTTCCTTAAATTGCCTAGGCCAATAAGTTTCCCATCATTTTCCAAAAGGCTCTGTATATACGTTGGGGCAGACCTTCAACATTCAGCCAGATACTTTACAACTCTGCTGTAGCCTTCAGTTTTTCCTCATGCAGAGCCTCAAATCAGCCAGAGATGAGAGACTTACCAGTCTCTTTGTGAGCATGCACCCAGCTGTAGATATACACATACCTGTAACCATTCATGGAGTCTTCTGGATTTCCAGGAATAGACCCAAGCCTTTTAAAACCTCCTATGGAAATTTCATTCCTCATATCTTCCTTTTAAGCTTTGTGGTTAGCCTACTGTCTGTCCCAACTGCTTTGGGCAGCCATGATGTTAAACAAAAGTGTCATTATTTTTGACAAATGCCCCTGAGAAAAATCGTCTTCACACTGGTCACATTCCCAGTCAGATCAAATAAATATGTGCATTGTGAGTGGGGTCTTCAAGGGAACCACCAAGTAAGTCAAACAATGACAATCCTCTGGGAATGGAGCTTTGGAATTCCAACCCTGTTCTGCCCATGGCAGGGTCTACCAAGCTGCTGGTTCCCACTGTGATTGTAGGCTCTTGGTTTTAAAAGCTAGTGCAAGCTAGAGAGAAGAGGATGGGAACAAGGGTAAAACACCACGGAGGTTGCTGTTCTTACTGAGAGTCAACCATTTTCCTTGAATAAACACTCTCCAGACTGCAACAAGTCTTTAGTTAATTTACAGATCCCTAAAAGTGTTAATTCAGAACATCACGTTACCTCCTCTTAAGGAAGATTTCTCATAATTAAATCTCGAACTTGCAAGAAATTGTGTATAATGATTAAAAGCTTGTTCTTTGGTACCAGCTAACTCTGGTTTCAAGCTCAGAATCTGCTCCTTACTAGGTTTGTAACCTTGATCAAGTTACTTAACATTTACAATACAGTGATAATAACTATCTTTTCATTGATTTGTTTTAAAATCCAATGAAACTAACAAAAGGAAAGTGTTTGGTACAGTTCATTGCACATAGTAAATGCTCAAGAACTTTTAGCTTCTTTTAGTTTCATGAAGAATATAGGTCAGCACTACTACTAAAAATGTAGAATGTTCCTCTGAGTGTGCTTCTTTAAGAGTCACTTTCAAAGTGGAAATAAAACTATTTCACTCATACTACTGTGTTTTCTATGCAATTCCAGGCACTGTGGTGGTCCAGCAGTTGATGTCAATGATGATTAGCAAACATGATCGCCTCTTTCCCAAAGATACAGAATCGCAAAGCAAACCCCAAGACGGCACAACCAATAACAACAATGAAATTCAGAAGAAAGCCACCATGGGCCAGCTACAGAATAAAGAGAACAATAATACCAAGGACAGTCCTGGTAGGCGGTGCTCTTGGGACAAGTCCGAGTCTCCCCAGAGAAGTAGCGTGGATAATGGATCCCCCACAGCTCTACCAGGTAGTAAAACCAACAGCCCAAGGAACAGTGTTCACAAGCTGGATGTCTCTAGAAGCCCCCCGCTCATGGTCAAAAAGAATCCTGCCTTCAATAAGGGCAGTGGGATAGTCACCAATGGGTCCTTCAGCAGCAGTAATGCCGAAGGCCTGGAGAAAACCCAAACCACTCCCAATGGGAGCTTACAGGCCAGAAGGACCTCTTCGCTGAAGGGGTCTGGTACCAAAATGGGCACCCACAGTGTACAGAATGGAACAGTGCGAATGGGCATTTTGAACCCCGACACACTGGGCAATCCCATGAATGGTCGCAGCATGAGCTGGCTGCCCAATGGATATGTGACCCTGAGGGATAACAAGCAGAAAGAGCAAGCAGGGGAGTCAGGCCAGCACAACAGGCTCTCCACCTATGATAATGTCCATCAACAGTTCTCCATGATGAACCTTGATGACAAGCAGAGTGTCGACAGTGCCACCTGGTCCACTTCCTCCTGTGAAATCTCCCTCCCCGAGAATTCCAACTCCTGTCGCTCCTCCACCACCACCTGCCCTGAGCAAGACTTTTACGGGGGTAATTTTGAGGACCCTGTTTTGGATGGGCCCCCGCAGGATGACCTCACCCACCCTGGGGACTATGAAAACAAAAGTGACCGGAGGAGTGTGGGAGGTCGAAGCAGTCGTGCCACCAGCAGCAGCGACAACAGTGAGACATTTGTGGGCAACAACACCAGCAACCACAGTGCCCTGCACAGTTTAGTGTCCAGCCTGAAACAGGAGATGACCAAACAGAAGATAGAGTATGAGTCCAGGATAAAGAGGTGAGAAAAACCTGGGGCGTCTAACTGCCAGAGAGGACCTGACAGCCTCCTGTTGCAGGACAGGTTCACACAGGGCATTAAACATGATGGCTCCAGAGCCAGACCTGCCTGAGTTCAAGTCCAGACCTCACCATTTGTCAGCTGTGGGATTTGGGGAAGGTTTGCTACATCTCTATGAGCTTCAGGTTCTTACTGTGAAAAACAAATATGAGTGGTTTTTACCTCAAAAGCATGTAAGAAATCATCGAGCCTTGTCCCTGGAACAGAATAGGTTACTGTCTTCTGCTAGTAAATGGGGGGGTTTATGTTTAGCGCTGGAAAGAGAGGGACTAGGACAAATGGAAAGTAAGGAGGCTGTTTTCATTGGTGGAAAGAGGATGAAATGAGGGTGAAGAAAAATATCAAAATAAACAGATTTTTGTTTTTATTCCTTTAATCATTGAATGCTGAGAGTGTCTGCACTCTTCCAGGATCCACTCTTGGCCCTGAGGATTCAGCAGTGAATGAAATAGTCAAAAACTCAGCCCTCCTTCCATTCTACTTCAGAGATGGATCAAGTAGTAGAGTAGGTCAGATGCTAAGTAGAAGACTAATGCAGGGAAGAAGGGTAAGAAGCACTGGTGAGGTAAAAGATCATGTGCAGGGCCTTACAGTAGGTCACAGAGGACACTGCAGATATTGGAGAAGAGCAAGTGGAAATGCCATGAGATGGGATGAGCAGTGAGCAGGTCTCAGAGAGGGAACAGGGTCAGGAGACACAGGGCCCTGGAGATCATTTTAAGTCTGGCTTTTTTTTTTTTAAGTTTATTTATTTTTGAGAGAGAGACAGAGAGCAGGGGAGAGGCAGAGAGAAAGAGAGAGAGAGAGAATCCCAATCAGGCTCTGCACTGTCAGCATAGGGCCCAACGTGGGGCTCAAACTCACAAACCCTGAGATCATGACCCGAGGCGAAGTGACATGCTTAATGAACTGAGCCACTGAGGTGCCCCTTAAGTCTGGCTTTTATTCTGAGATTGGAATCCATGAACATTTTTGAGAAAATCAATGACATGACATGCATTCATATGGACAAGGGAAATTACAGCCTGAAACAAGGAGCAAAAACCACTATTTATAAGGAAACAGTTACACTAAAACCTAATTTATATCAGTTTACATCTTATAAGATGACCAAGGTAAAAAAAAAAAAAAATGACCAAGGTAGACGTTTACCAACACCTTGTCTAGGGAAGTAACGTAGGCAGGATGAGGGGCATTTGCAGACCGTCCCGTGTTCACAGCACCCCTGACTGTAAGATGTCAGTGGACTTGAGAGGCGGAAATACAGAGAATGGAGCCCAGGGCTCACAAACAGAACCCTGTGCCAGAAACCAGAATGTCACCACCCCTACGTTTTTACTAGAGTTACAGAAATTATAAATGTTTATGCTCCTTTCAGCATAACGTAGGAGATTTAATTCTCAAGTAGGAGAAGACCTGAAGCTCAGTTCAGCATGAACTGAGCCCGTCTGTTGCCTGTCTGTGGTCTCCACCCCAGTTTCAGGCTGTGTGACTTGGTGGCCCTCCTGTGTGGGTGTTCTAGGGTCCTCACGGTGGTGAACACCATTCTTTGTCCTGCCTCAATTACTGCCATGCCTCCAAACCTCACATGGCTTCTTCATTATACATAAAGTCGACTTTAATGTATTTTAATATTTGTCCAATCCATTTGTCAGTTTTCAGGCCAAAAGATACATTTTTTCAAGAGCTTTGGTAAAGTAAATATAAACTAAAGTATTACTTATACATTAAGTTGAAAAATTACTTTCTTAGAAAGTAGTTTTTGTAAACCTTGCTGAGCAGAAACTTGGTTTGAATTTTTCTATGTAACGCCAAGTGTCAGGAGGTTTACATAAGAAGAAAAACTCTCATTTGTGAATGTAGTTTTTGGAACCACTGGCTACCAGAATTCTGACTGTCTGCCAATACATGATGACAACTTAGCACTTAGCACCAGGAAACAAGAGATAGCACTTCAAACTTGTATTAGCAGAGGAAAAACATCATTCTCAATGGCAGCCGAAGTACATATTCATTTATGAGAACATTGGTGACATATTTATGTTCTGTGATCTATGGTGCATTTTAGAGACCTTGATAAAATAATAAAACTTCCCTGTAGGATGCCATCTCGATTTCACTGTGACATTCTTACCTGTCTGACAGGCGGAGGGGGAGGACCACAGCAAACTGGGGCCGAGGAGCTGCCACATACCCAAGCTACAGAAATAGAAGAGGTTAACTGTTCTAGGGGCACCTGGGTGGCTCAGTTGGTTAAGCATCCGACTCTTGATTTCAGCTCAGGTCACGATCTCATAGTGAGTTGGAGCCCCGAGTTGGGTTTTGTAACAACAATGTGGAGCCTACTTGGGATTCTGTCTCTCTGCCCCTTGCTTGGTCCCTCTCTCTCTCTCAAAAATAAATAAGCAAACATTAAAAAAAAAAAAAAAGATGTTACCTATTCTATTTAATTTCTCATCATTCCTGTTTAGAGTCATGTATGTCTCTTTGATTTTCTTTTGAACTACTCCCCGTAAATATTGAAGTTTAAGTAGAATTCATAGACAGATGATAAGTAGATAATATTTAACTTTGTTTAGTTATCAATCACTAATCTATGCTCTTTAGCTTTTTAAAAATATGTTCTAATGTTTATTTATTTTGGAGAGAGGAGTGTAATCAGGGGAGGGAGAGAGAGAGAGCAGGAGGAGACACAGAATCCAAAGCAGGCTCCAAGCTCTGAGCTGTCAGCACAGAGCCCAATGCAGGGCTCAAACTCAGGAACCATGAGATTGTGACCTGAGCCGAAATGGGACACTCAACTGACTGAGCCACCCAGGCGCCCCTATGCTCTTTAGCTTGGTGTTCTTTATCCCCCAAATTAGTTTCTAACTTTATTGTATTGTGACGGAGAAATTCATTTGTATGATATCAATTATTTGGCCTGGTAAAATCTATTCTCTTATTGTTAGTTTGGGATTCTATACATGACTAATAGATCAAGCCTGTTAATCAAGTTGTTCAAATCTCTTACCTTTCTTCTAATTTCTATCAGATACAGCTATAATTTCTAAGAAAGAAAAATCTAATTGATAAATTAGATAATTTAGATAAAATCTAATTTAGATAAATTAGATAAATTAAATTTATCAATTTCTCCTTATAAATTTGTTATATTTTATACTGAATAATTTGAGGCTAGACTACCAGGTGAATAAAGGTTCAGAATCTTTTATATCTCCATGATGAATCAGTCCTTTTATCATTAAGTAATAATCATCTTTAATTGTAATAATGCTTTTTGCTAAAAATCAATTTTTTCTGGCATTAATATTATTATGCCACTTTTATTTTGATTAGTTACTTTCTGGCATAAGAGACTTAAGCTCTCTAATGATGATGCTTTCACTGTCATTATTTTTCCTTTGATAGAAAGCCAGCTTTACCTCAAATGACTCCAGGAAGCCTTGTGGTTCAGGCTGCCTTCTGCATCTGCATTCTGTGCAGATATCAGTCTCTGGCTTCTCTGTGCCACTCATTCGCAATCAAATGACTTTGTGCTTCCAAGAGAGGTCTTGGGGTCTTCTTGTTAAAACGATAGTAAATCAGGGGACCTGGGTGGCTCAGTCGGTTAAGGGTCTGACTTCGGCGCAACTTACAATCTCACAACTCATGAGTTCAAGCTCCACATCGGGCTCTGTGCTGACAGCTCAGAGCCTGGAGCCTGCTTTGACTTCTATGTCTCCCTCTCTCTCTGCCCCTTCTTCGCTCTCTCTATCTCTCTCAAAAAAAAAAAAAAGAACGTTAATTTTTTTAAATGACAATAAATCATCCCAGCAAATAGAATGAATGAATATGAATGAATGAATGAAACTAACACCTTTTAAATCATTGGGCCTTGCCTCACTGATTTGAAAGGGCCCATTACAATTTCCTAAGCACTGCAGAAACAGAGTTTAGATATTATTTGTATCCCTGTCACATTCCAAGTGAATAAAATCGCTTTATCTTGTATTCCCTCCCCCACACTATCTAGCTTGGAACAGCGAAACTTGACTTTGGAAACAGAAATGATGAGCCTCCATGATGAACTGGATCAAGAAAGGAAGAAGTTCACAATGATAGAAATCAAAATGCGAAATGCTGAGCGAGCGAAAGAAGACGCAGAGAAAAGAAATGACATGCTTCAGAAAGAGATGGAGCAGTTTTTTTCCACGTTTGGGGAGCTGACAGTGGAACCCAGGAGAACCGAGAGAGGAAACACGATATGGATCCAGTGAGCCTGCTTTCTCCCACTGTCTCCAATGGCTCTGGCAAGGGCTCCGCGGTGCTGGCGGGAACATTCTCCGGGACCAGGTGGCTGGCCCCTTGCTGTACAGTGATCTAACTGTTGAAGGAATATCATTTACAGACATTACCCATCCATATCTGCAATGTGTACCAAAGTTCTCTCATGCCCCATACTGCTACTGTCAAGTGTTACAACTGGATTTGTGTATAGAGAGTAGTTTTTAAAAAGTAAACTAAAAATGAGAAGTATATCTCAAGAATTATTTTATTGCAAGTCTTGTATTTAAAATGTTAAATCAATATGTCGTTGCAATTTAGCTTGCTTTCAAGCTTCACCCCTTGCACTTAACATAAGCTATTTTTGGCATTGTGTTCTCATCAGCTTATTTTATAGATCAATATTTTTATTTCCCCTTTTGCTGAGGAAATGAAGATAAGCAGATATATAAATATATATAAATATATATCAGATGAGTTATTAAAATCAAAAGAATACTTTGTGGCTGTGCTGTTTGTGCCGATAGACCTCACCATGACCAAAAAGAGAAGTGTAAATGGTTTTATAAAATACAATAGAATCACCAGGAACCTTGGGTTTGCTCTTTAAATTCTTCCCTCAACACTTTTCAGTTTTCTTTGTGAGGTGTCCTGACGCAGAAAATTTGGGGTTTTGTTAAGAAAAAACCTCCCCTTCTCTAGGCCTATTGTCTACCTGGTCAGTTCCACAGATGCATGTCTTCTATGCAGAATGCACTCTAGAGGGGAAAATGGTAAAAGCATTTAATGAGTCATGCCATGAGTCACTCTGACCTTCTGGACTGAGTCTCTGTAACTGCTAGATGGTTTCTAGAAAAGTTCTTCACGCTATGTGGAGATTGGGAAACAGTGCTCACTACACTGGGCCACAGGAGCACTTCGTGTCCACTCAGACCTTTCCTCCACCCCCCAGCAAACACTTGGCAAAGCAGGCAGTGTGATGGTGCGACTGTGACCTCCCAGTTAAGAGTATATGCCATATTTAGTGACATTTTTCTCTAGCTCAGGCCCACTGTTCTGCTGTCAGCTGGGATTCTGTCCACAGGACAGCTGGCGGAGGCAGTGCCACAAGAGCAGGGAATGGAACGGATAGACCCGAAAGAGAAGGAGACACATTTGGAAGAAGCAAACTGTGTTGTTTCTAATTTTTACAATATTGTTCTTCCCTGTTGAAAACATATTTGTTCACCATAATCTTAAGGCATGAATACGTAAAGGTCCAATCCTGACAAATTTATGAACATCAGTAATGGTGACCTTCAAGAGAAGCCCAGGGCTCTCGGGACCTAGAGTTTGGGGAGAACAGCTCCTCACACTTCAAGAAGGCAATGATTTTGAGAAACCAGGCAAATAAATATTTCTCACACTAGACAAAAAGTCACAAAAGGCATAATTGCAAATAAAGACTGTTTGAGTTTATAGGATTGTGTTGTTAGAAGGTTCTATGTCTGTTTGTACTTATTTATTTTCAAATGGGAGATTAGTCTTTATACTGTCCATCCTTGTCACCATCCACCTTCCACTAATATACTAATGTGGGTCCTAGGTTTTAACCACTATCTATATAATGGTACCTTCTTTACTTTTAGTTTACTCTTCTCGTTCCAATTCTTTATTTAGCCAGATACTTCCATCTGTATGTTCTATAAGAAAATCCAAAATGTGCAATGTTGATCTCAGTAGGTCTCTCTATACACATCTCCATCTCTTCCCAGTCACTGTCCTAGTGAATGAAAACCTTGGACGCATCCAGTGAGTTAAAAGATGCAATAGTAAAAATCAAAAGGCCATGTAGTCAAATTGGCTGCATTCAAATTTTCTATAATCTCTAGCTGATAATGAGACCTCTAGGCATAACTTTTTTAAAATATAGACGGGGAACAATAAAGATGGTCCTCTCATGAACTTATTATGTGGTTTCAAAGATGTCGATTGTTAAAGCTAACCACAGCCCCTCGTATACAGAAAGGATGTCATGAATGTTAATTCTTATTGTTTTCTCTTCTTCACCCTTAAATTCACTCACCAAGGACTCTCTATTCCATTCATCCTTGCCTCTTAAATCTGATACTCTCTTCGACCAGTTTCTCCTCATATCTGATGAAAGCATCTCCCCTTTTTCAGGCTCTCCCCTCTAGACCATCTATCTGACTAGATCATAGCTTTGCTACTATCACGTGAAGACTCACTTGCCCACAGGATACGCCCTTCACATGGTGTATAAGGTTGTGACCTGCAGTTATATTTTCCTCTCCTCCCACTTCCCTAAACCCTGCCATCCCATTTCATGCCTCTGGAACTTTCCACCTTCTTTTGCCACATCCATCTTGACTACCTTCTTTCCTCGTGGCACACTCCTACCATTTTCTTTAAAGAGCCAGATCAAATGTCAGATCCCCTTCTAGGATCTCAATGCTGAGTTACCTAATGCTCCCACTTTTTGTATATCTCTTTCAGTCTTGTCCATGTCTGATTATTATCTTCACCAAATAAGAAACATTTTAGGAAACAGCATGCTGGAATGGAAATAGCAGGAAATGGAGAGCCAAACAGACCTAGATATGCATCTCAACATGCCTTAGGCAAGATGGCGAGCAACGGCAAATCACTGAAACTTTCTGAGCCTCAGTGTTTTCATCTATAAAGTGGGGATAATAACTTCTCCAATGTAGGGATGTTTTAATACTTAAAAGTGATATGTAATGTGACTGTCTGAGTGTCTGCCACTTATTTCTATTGATAGCTCTATTAATAAATGGAGCCTCCTAGCCTAAGAGAGTAGAAGTGTATCTTACTGATCTTAAATCCCTCTGTCTCTACCCTTGATGCCATAGTGTACCAGGCTGGAGAATCATTGATCTCAGTGATGATGACCTTCAATCAATGGATACCGTGAGTAGCTTGTCCATCTGAGTTTCTTTTAGTTCTTCTATTAATTCAGCTAAATGCCTAGAAAGTATCAAATGCAAATTAACATAAAAATGAATTGGAAATAAGTACGTAGTATCAAGAGTTCATTTGCTACCTCCAATATGAGCTTCTTAAAAGCTGTTTAGGTAACTGTAATGATTCTTCAATTATGAGCTCAGGAGAAAGGATTTGCTTCCAAGTGTTGAGTCTACAATGTTGGCTTCACAAGCCAAACCATATGGCTGGGTGTCATTCAGAGAACATTTAAAATAGATTTGTGGGTGATAGTAGGCCAACCGAAGCCTATAGTTTTTTATGTAGTTTCTATGTGTAATTTTACAATGAAATGACTAAAAACTTCAAGGGAAACTTAATAATGTCATTCCTATTTATTTTTGTTTATTAAAAAGCTGAGCCCTCCTTTAGAAAATCAGGTCATTTCCAGATAGGATACTTTAACTCATTGATACAATTATCTCACCTTGGAAACTGAGGAGAATTTAAAGAGTGTGAGGCTGGCCACAGACCTCAGTGTTTCTAATGTTGGAGAGCTCATCTCGCTTGCAGGAGCATCACAGAAAATGATACGTATCAGCTTTTGGAATCCGAGACCTGGATTCAAATCTCAGTTCTGCCACTTAGTAGCTATAAGAATTTAAGAAAAGTTACGTGATGTTCATGAGCCTCAATTTGTTTTTCTGTAAAGTGGGACCATACTAGTGCCTCTGCCTTGTGTTTTGTTTTTTGTTTTTTTGAGAAATAAATAAATAAAGTGACCATCACAGTTTATATTGTAAGTGCTCAATAAATGGAAGCTGTCAGCTCTCAAATTACTTCATTGAAAGGGTGTTCCAACTTCTAGAAAATAAGAGTTCTGGACTCAAGAATGTGGCCGGCATGCTCACCAGATGAGGGTATAATTATGTCCTTGTCCCAGGGACCCTAATTCTACCTTGGCCCAGATAAACTGCCCGAGATTTGATGGCAAGGAAGAGGTAAGCCAAGGCATCCTTTCTACAGGAGATACTACAATTACATCCATGATCTGAGAATACTGTCTAAACAACTACCTGTAACTGTCCTGCATCAACTCTGTGTGGACACTGAAGAAAGCTTCAGTATTGAAGGTCCCGGGTAAAATATAATGGAAATCTAAGAATATGACCAAACATATCTAGACTCACATCAGCAGCACTATTTGTGAATATTTATTGAAGGTATCTAAATGCTACACCAGCATTAGACTAGGTGCCTGGGGTACCTAGTTGATAAATAATTACCACAGAATGTAGTTTTGTACATCAGATCACAAAGATGAGGCTGGGGAAGACCCGGTAGAGCTGTGACTGTGATGCAAGTCTTCAAGGGTAATAGGAAGTTATCAGGATAGCAGTTTGCGCAGGGGCTTTCCCAGTCCACAGGAAAGTATGTGCAAAAGTGCCTTCAGTGCAGACCTTAGGGAGCCTTTCCAGTGAAATAAAAATGACCTATCAGGGGTACCTGGGTGGCTCAGTCGGTTAAGCATCTGACTTCGGCTCAGGTAATGATCACATGATTCGTGGATTCGAGCCCCGCATCAGGCTCTATGCTGACAGCTAGCTCAGAGCCTGGAGTCTGCTTTGGATTCTTTGTCTCCCTGTCTCTCTGACCCTCCCCTGCTCACGCTGCCTCTATCTCTCTCCCTCTCTCTCTCTCAGAAATAAAACATTTTTTAAAAGTTTTTTAAAAAATGTCCTATCAAATGTATACCATCAGAGTGGCATTGTGCCTAACAACTCACCCACACAAACACCAGGAGATCTGAAAACGCTTAGGACTCATGTGGCTTCCACTCTTTTATTCAAATGAAGCAGCCAGACCTGGACACATTTTGCCTTGTTTGAACTCACAAACCAAGGAAAAAAAGTGCTGGAATTGTGGCTCCCAATGGCCTATTTCGTTATTCTCTTTATAGTCTTCTTAATTGCACAAGTGGGGGATGAGTTGACTGCCCAGCTTACGGGCTCCTTGCTGCAAAGTGACATGAAAAACTAACAGCTCCCCAGGCGGCTGAAATCTACAGAACCTACTAGAGCTCTGAGTAGAAAGTTTAGCAGGTTAAGAATGTGTTTTTAATGTGCCACTCGTGGCTCAGGTCCAGGCCTGAATGATACTCTTTATTTATGGATGTGTAGCTGCTCCTTTTTTGGCCCCTACAGGGCTAAGACCAGCCCATACCGGGAGAGTTACCTTTCTTAAGTGGAAAGTACTGATTTGTTGGAATAAGTAGTTAAATTGGTCCTCAGCACACTACCTGTTTTTGTGACAACACCATGCCCATCACATCCCTCTCTTCACAACGCACACATTCCCTGCTTCCTCGTGATTCATCAGAAGCGATCACATGCCACACGAAAGCAAGCCCTAGGGCTGCATCATCTTGCCTTCATTCTTGACCACCTAATGCCAAAATCATCTGTTGGAGGCCGGCTCCGGCAGGTCCAGGGGTCCCTGAAGGATGGACGGTGTTGGCGAGAGAGAGAGTGAGAGAGCCCCGAGATCCTTTCTGATTACCAGGCAGGCATCTCCGTCCTGTCGGTTTTGGTGTCTTTATTTATAGGTCAAATGTTAACATGGCATCAGAAAATGGAATTTTTACAATG